ACCCCAAAAGTATCCCACATGTATCAATGGTGCTGTTTATCGCTGTCTATCTCTGTTTGCTACTAGAGCCCATCGAATCTGGATCTAAAAATTTTGATCGATCGGATCTAGGTCTAACAAATTTTAATCGGTTGAGTCCGGATTCAAAAATTCTTGAATCCGATGGGATCTAGTCATCACCCACCAACAGTGATCTTGAAAATGCGACTTGGATTCCCAAAAACAAATTATATTAAAATGTCTATCTCTCTTTATTACTTCGAATCACAACAATAAGAATCGCCAAAGAAAATCTTCCCGTTCATACTCCCTGCATTTCTTGCTATTGATTTGATAAATCATCAGACTCTAACCATACAGGGTGTTTCATAAGTTTTGAGGCTTGACAAAAATCAATACATTTGCAAATAAAAAGTGATCTCGGAGCAAAGGTATTTATATAAAGTTTGAGTACTCATGACGGTCTTTCAAATGATGTATGATTAGATAAGATCTCATTTTGTGATAATAAAGATATACACATGAGAATGTTGAGATAAATTTTTCCAAATCGATCAACACGATTTTTGTTAAAGATTCTCAAATAAAGTACTTTACTTATCTTACATAAATAAAAGTGTGGCAGGACCAGTAACTACTTATCTTAGTCGTTTATTCACCGCCAGTCATGAATAACTGATCACATGTTCAACCACGCTATACGCCCAGTGACTGAGATGAACTGGATAAAATATATGAACATATGATGTGCGTAACACAAAACAGCGTAGTAGATTCAAAACGAATTATTTTTTATCAGCAATGTTTGCCGATGTCTGACCCATTGAGAGCGTATGGGGAATTTTAAAGAAAAAAGTACGAGGAGTACAGTTTTCGAGTTTTGAGCAGTTAAAACCTAGACTGAAGAAAACATGGAAAAAATAACTTCTGATGATTGTAGAAAAATGATTGATAAAATTTCTATCTGACTTGGTGAAGTGATAAAAGCTAGCGAGGAACAGATACATGATAGTTAAACTACATTTATCTATTAAATTAGTGTGTTTTTTTTTAATAAGAAGAGTGTTTTTCTTTTTTAATAAAATATCTTGTTGGTTGATTTGAAAAAATTTATCTCAACATTCTTATGTGTATATCTTTATTATTACAAAATGAAATCTCATCTAATCATACGTCATTTGAAAGACCGTCACGAGTACTCAAACTTTATATAAATACCTTTGGTCCGAGATCACTTTTTGCTTGCATATGTATTAATTTTTATCAAGCCTCAAAACTTATGAAACACCCTGTATACTAATAAGTAAAAAGAAAATATTTAAGAAATACAGTATTCTGTAGTATCATTTCGTTAAAATGGAAGATCACATTCATAAATAAAACTAAAAATAAAAAGCTTACGACACTCGGTATTCCCAGGCGGTCACCCATCCAAGTACTAACCGAGCCCGACGTTGCTTAACTTCAGTGATCGGACGAGAACTGGTGTATTCAACGTGGTATGGCCGTAAGCATTTATGATCATGTTATTTTGTGATTTTCTTCTTTTGGTAAAGGTTCTTGGTAAAATCATGAAAGTATCGTATATGAAAAAAAAAAGAACTTTATTGAAAACATTAAAAAAGCGACGAAGTATAATGCAATGAATAATAGCGGGCATAGAATAAATATATTGAAGAATAAAAGGATGAAGAAAACAAATAATTGATATAGTATTGAAAGGAAATATATTTAAATGCGATTATGTTTAAAACATAGCTAAATAAGAAAAATTTGTTTGTTAGTAGGGTATTAGTGAAATAAAAATAATGAGTCACTATAGCATCTTAATGAACTAGAAATAAGAGAAATAAATATATTAGTAAATGATGAAAATCTTTGTTTAATTAACCAAAATATTTTTTTTCGACCAAACTTGACGTTCACATAATTCAACAGCCTAGAACAAAAAAACACACGAACAAAACATTTGTCAATAAAGATTAACTAGTTTTTTGTTTCTCACATTGCACAATTTAGCATTTTCAGGAGTTGCACACCAATACTTCATGCCAAATATACATTTACCATATCTCATTGTTGTTGTTGTTGTTGTCGAGGTTTTGCTTATAGAATCTGGACACATTTTAAGATAACGACAAGCTGTATCTGGATCAGCTGATGCAGCAATTAATTCTGCAAGAACAGGTCCATAAGATGTAATAAGTTCATCACATTCAGTACGTTCTTTACCTAACAAAAAGTAAAATTCAATATTAAAATTTTTATTTCATAATTAAGCTTACTTGGTAAAATAGTGCATACTTTTTCTAATGCTTGTTGAATAGCTTCTTCTGATTTATTATTTTTTAAAGCTGCATCCAAATATGAAATAACATAATGACATAATGTACATTTTGGAGTTAAATTAAAATTTTCAATAATCCCGGAATCTTTTTTTTTATCTTTTATTAATACTTTATTAACATGAGGTTGTTTAAGTAAAATATTTTCAAGGATTTTATCTTCCTTTTTGATTGATATTGCTGGTTGTAATTTAATCATTGGTGTTTGACATATTGTTAATTGTTTACAAAAATTCTGTCCTGGATTTAATTCTAATTTTTGAATATATGGTGAAAATAAAAGAACTATTGTTTGACATTTTGAATAATCTATATTAATTATTAAATGTGAACAAACAGTTGATAAAGCATGTTGAAGAGATTTTTCATTTGAATCACGTTTAAGAGCAAAATGTAAATATGTTGATATATAATCACAAATACCACATGTTGATGCATTTGCTTTTGTTAAATATGTAATATTAATTTTCATTTGATTTGTACATAAATTAAGTTTATGACAAATTGTTGATAGATTAAATTCTTGAAGAAGTGTTGTAATTATTGATGGGCCATAATTATCAATATAATCATAACATTGTTCTTGTAATATTGATGGTATTAAATTACAAATTTTTTGTAAATTTTCTTCAATTTCTTCTTCAGTTGATTGATAATTAATATAATTTGAAAGAATATTCATTATATATTCACAAAGAATACATGTAGAATTTGAATTATCAATTGGTTTTATTTCTTTTATTTCTGATTGAATTGTTTCTTCACATATTTCTTGAAAACCTCCCATATTATTACATAATAATGATTTATTACAAAAACCAAGATGTTTACAAACTCGTTTTGGATTAATATGTTTAATACGTGTATCAAATCGTAATTTAGCCATTCGCCAATGGTGACGACATTTATGTTTAGTTGGACAATGTTTACATGAACGAATTAAAGACATAAAGATTCTATCACCTAGAAATTTAATATGTCGTTTTCTTCGAATTATTCGAAAAATACAACATTTGCATTTGTCATGTTCGAATTCATCTAAATACAAAAAAGTATATAAAATTAACAATCTATTTTATTCTTCTTGTTATCAATAAAGTGAATTTAAGATCTTTGTTCAAGAAACAAAAAAGGTTCAATATGATTAAAATTTCAAAGACAAGAGACATGCTTTTAATGCTATAAAATTTTAATAATATTTATTGTATTGACATATATTCGAGTCAAATTACAGCTCTTATCACCAAACTATCAAATTTAAAATATAGACTATTGTTGACATGCCGAGACAGAGGTATTTGAATTTTAAAGAATTGTGAAACAAGATCTTAAAGGAACATTGAAATACAGAAGTAAAAATTTTCTTATTGCATTTCTGGAGGATTAAGTAATAAAATAGTGAAGACATGTGTTTTAGAATAAAACAAGCTTCCAATGATTAGCGACAGCACCTACATCATGTTCTACATTTTAATCCTTCAAGAATTGCGCTAACAGCACTTTTCTCAATGTATGTAATGTACTGATGAATTAAAATTTTAGCAGAATTCGTTTTTCGTCATGTCCAAATATAGCTCATCAAGTTGTATATAAAAAAACCATTGAACGAAAATCAAAATTTCAAACATAACGAAGAAAAATTCTACTGAAGTTTTGATTTATGGTTACGCTACATAAGCTGTAAATATCTTAAAATTCAAATGTCTTGGTACAGATAGGAGATGTCCATGGAGATGCTACCACCGCGACGGCGTCAGCGGCAGTGCCGCTGAGCCTTCCTTCTTCTAGAATCGCGGTAGATTTCTAGCCATGATGAATATCTCTGGTCCAAACATACTAACAGCAGTCTATATTTTAAATTTGATAGTTTGTAACTATTCATTAGATACAAATGAGTTGAACTTCGCACTGCAATTCATATCGGATTCACCTATGAGATTCTATGATGGATTCATTAAATAGAAAGTTTTTTTTTTTTCATATAATGTCAACAATGATTTGTTAAATAAAATCAAGTTTATTTAATAGCTATTTATATTTTTCTATGAAGAATCTATTAAAACAAATAAACTAACCAAGATCTTGTGTTTTAGATAAATTTTCTGTTAATTTGTCATCAATTTGCATTAAATCTTTAATATCATAATTTATTTTTAATTTTTGAATTTGTTTTGTATCACCATGAATAACACTTTTACATAATATTTCAAATGGACCAAGAGTTGAACAAATATTTTTATCAATTTCATCTACTAAATCTTTTTCATATTTATCAAAATTCATTTTATTTTCAGTACCATCTGTTGTACAAAAACCAATTAAATTACAAGTTTCTTTTGGATCAAATTCTTCAAATGATATTTGAATTAAATCATGTATTTGTTGAATATATATTTGACATTGTTTAGTTTCAGCATGTTTTTGACAAAGATCACGAAAATATCCTGTAAGTCGATCAATAGCTTGTAAAATTCCATCTTTTCTTAATTGTAAACGTTCAATACATGTTGAACATTTATTATTTAAAGATATTGAACAAAGATGAATTGATTGACAAAATTGTTCAGGATTAATATTATTTAAATAAGATTTAAGATTGTTAAATCGTTGATTAATAAGATTTTGACATCGATCTTTTGCTGAACAAATTTCACATGTTTGAAGTAAAATATTACGAACCGATTCCTATGAAATAATAAATAATAGTTGGATTTCAAAGAAAAAGAAAATGAATTGTTTTTGTTTTCTTTTGTATATTGTTACTTACTAATTCATTCAGGAGAAAATCTTTTGATGATTGAGTAGCATTTTTACATTTATCACAAGTATCTGTTTTAGGTTTACGTAACTCATCATCAATTAATTTTGGATCATTTTTTAATAAAGCCATATAAATATTAATATAATGAGTACTTTGTGTTGATCCCATTAAATGTTCACATATAGGTTTTAAATCTCCAAAGTTCAAACAAAGATTATCGGAAAATTTTTCAATAGATGATCCAAAATTAAGATAAAATGTAGTCATTAATTTCGAAAGAAATGGTATGGATCTTAATGATGATTTAGATAAACAAAGACCAAAATGTTGACAAAATGTTAAAGAATTTATTTGATTTATTTGATTTAATACTTCTTGATGAGCTGAGTGAATAGATGAATGAGACTCATTATCATTACATGAAGAACCTACAAATGTTGCTAGTTCATTGATTACTGTACGAAAATTATTTTGGCGAAAATTTAAATGATTTTGACAACATTGACATTTATCACTATCCATATTGCACTAAACGATTTTTTTTTTTATTAAATATCATTTGAAATTATATAAAACAAATAATGATATGACTTACTTCTACAGGAGTTGCTGAACAATGAGTTAATAATTGACAAATTCGCTTGGCATTCTATTAAAAAAAGTGAAGTAAAGATCTTCTATATGATTTTTGGTAAATATTCTCTTAACTATTTCACACCCCATTCTATTTCTCAGTTTTGTGGCCAGTCGGCTGAAACCCCAATTTCTATTTGCTTATGTAGCTTCAGCCAGATGTCAGAAAAATGTGATTTTTCTACTAGTTATAGCGCATATACAGTGCTAATGATCTATTATTGTTTGAGTTCTATATCTTACTATTTACCAATGAGAGTTTCCGAATGTTTTCTTATCATCATTTCGTTAATGGTAGTTTGCATCTAATTTACTAACATACACCAATCCTTAGTAAGAAATTTGAATCAACATAAAATATTAGTTATAGGACTTTATTATCAAGTAGTTAATCAGAAAATACAACTTATCATGTTGTTTATTTATGAATAGGATGTTTATTCAAATACATGTCGTAGGTCAATCTCGGATTCGCTTAGGCCATTCTAAGATCCGAGTTTGGCCTGTTTTTTCAGGTCAATCTGAGTTTCGCCTAGTCTATATTAAGATATTTTATATGCCCAAGCCAATCCAAGATTCGTCTAGGGCACACTAGGATAGAGTGATTAGTAACTCAAACTACAACTAACCTTCATTAAGTCAATCGCATAACATAGTGAAAAATAATATGAATGTTAACTAAAAAGACAATAAATTTCTTTACTCCTTCATATTTCTAAGACAATTAATATTTTTATGACAATTTGTTGAGCAGAAAACTTGATTGTTTTTACAAGAACACTGGTTGTTATTACATTCTCGTTTACCTAAACAACGGACATCGTTGATAATGCTTCGAACATAGAATTTGAATGCAGTGTTCATCGATATCTCATGAAAATCGATCAATGGTATATGAGGAGTTCTTGAGGTACAGCAGACGAACTCATCAAAACATTTGTTGTCTATCATTCATCGATAATTCCATGAGCACATGAAATTTTATCGCTTTTATTCGAGTTTTAGTCTAGATCTGATTCACAATGTATAACTCTCGTTCGTCATCTCCTCCAATATTTGTATATTTATAATAAAGCTCGCCATTATACTAGAAATCAGATGAGTAATTGAACAAACTTATTCTAGTTCGACCTAAGCGAAACTTAGAATGGACTGAAAAAAAGAGGCCAATCTTAGATTCCAGAATGGACTAGTCCAAATTTAAATCTTAGAATGGCCTATATGGATCTGAGATTGGCCTACGACATACATATTGCATAGAGCAGAAACAACTTGTGTCATTTTAGTTATCTTAAGGGCCCCCTACCCCTCTAAATTTTTTTTTCCCCAGAACACTCAATCTTACTGAAATTTTTATTGAATATGTATCTGACCATTGATAGTTCTCAGTAAAAATTTGAGCTCATAATATTGAGTTTTTCGCGAGTTATTGTAACATCAAGGGTCAAAAGTAGGTGTCTGTGTGTCAAAGATTTTGTTTTCAATTTTAGTGATACGGACCTCGGGATGGTGTCAAAATGTAGAGAAGACCTGCCCCTACAACCTAACAAAGCCGGATTTTTGAGAAAAAAAAAATTAATTTTTTTAGACAGTTTTTTCGAAAAACCTAGATCAATTTTTTAGAAAACTCGAGTTTTTTGTAAACAAATAAATTGAAAACAAAAATTCTGGCTTTGTTAGGTTGTAGCACTGATATTTACCTTCATTTTAAAACCTTTCCGAGCATTCTAACATTTGAAATGGCGGAGAAATCTTTGACACACAGTCAAAGAAAACGAAAAAAAACAGTTTCGAGAAAAACACAAAACAATTTTTTCTTTGATTATCGCGATTTTTTCGTTTAAAAATGGTAGTGAATAAACAAGAAGCCAGTTTATTATAGGTTATCGGCTATGGCGAATCGTATGAGCACATGGAGAGATATGTGTGACGTAGTTTTTTTTTACGTTTAAGTGTTGGTCTCGCGAAAAACCATCAAAAACCACTGGTTTTTGAAAAAATCTATAAAATTACTTGAATTTAATATGTATAATGAAACTAGTGTTTTGAATCAGATATGACGAAACAAAACATTCAATTTTCTGTTGCCGAGTAGGCAAAAGAAAATTAATGACTTATTCTTGTGTTTATTGTATAAAAAAACATACAACGAAATTCGCGGGTTCATGCTCAGTCATCACCATCTGGCTCGTAAGCATCATCCTCTTCAGTTTCACCTTCTTCACTCTCTATTGATTTCAATAACTGAAGTTTTCGAAAAAAAAATTTTTTGATGCAGAGGTCTTCAGAAAAACCGTTGTAAAACCCTCAAAACCCATCGAAAAACCAATAAATTATAGTGCATTCGAAAGTAGAGATAATGGGCTATCTAACTATGTATAAATCTAAAAATCGATATTTTTGTCGAAAATTCCTTTTTTTTGAGGGGTGGGGGGCCCTTACACTCTAAAAAAAATCGGTTTTTTACCGAACCCCCAAAAAAGGTTCCGGAGATGTCTAAAAGCATCCAAAGATGTCCAAAGTCTCAAAAAAAGGATAAAAAAATCTACGAAACCTTTAAAGGTTCTTACCGTGTACCGAGGATAAGAACCTTTTGCTGCGAAACCTTTTTTTAAGTTCCGTACAGCAGAAAAAGGTTTCGTAGGAAAATACGAAACCATTAGAGTTTCGTATTAAACTCTACGAAATCATGAGGGTTTAGTGCAAAATCATGAGAGTTTAGTACGAAACTATTAGGGTTTAATATGAAACTCTAAAGGTTTCGTATTTCCCTACGAAACCTTTTTCTGCTGTACGGAACTTAAAAAAAGGTTTCGCAGCAAAAGGTTCTTATCCTCGGTACACGGTAAGAACCTTTAAAGGTTTCGTAGATTTTTTTATCCTTTTTTTGAGACTTTGGACATCTTTGGATGCTTTTAGACATCTCCGGAACCTTTTTTGGGGGTTCGGTAAGAAACCGATTTTTTTTAGAGTGTAAGAAGATCATCAATAGTTCCTCGGCAACACTACCAAAAATAGCATAGATTTTGAGACGTTGATTGATATTTTCAATAGCCACTCTTGTACTATTAATATTACGATTGAAATTCTTGTCTTCATCGGTTAATTCACGTCTACGAGGTTTCTTTCTTGAAGTAACTACGTATTCTTCACCAATATATCCTTTGTCAGGAATAATTTGCACAAATTCTTCTACCTGATCCTCTCAAAGTTGTAATAACATGTATATAGAGCTCAAACAATAATAGATCATTAACACTGCATATGTACTATAGCTAGTAAAAAAAATCACATTTTTCTGATATTTGGCTGAAGCTACATAAGCAAATAAAAATTGGAGTTCAGACCGACTGGCTACACCTATATTGTAGACTACTTCCTTATTGCATTTCTAGACTACAGCTTGTTTCACAATTTAATTTCGCAGGGATTACATTATTTTAGTACATCATGAAATTCTTGTAGTAGAGTCAATAATGCATTCGAGGACTATTTATATCTATTTACATGAGAATGTTGATATAGCAATCGTGGACGACGTGCTAATATTTTTGTACTTTGAAATTTAAAGAAAGGCTAGATCGAATTCGGCCCTTAAAAAACAAATCTTTGTTAGAAGCTGTCTATATCAGAAAATTTGCTCTCTTATAGTATTATCTGAAGACCTAAACTCAAGGAGATCGTTACCTATGGCAGGAAAGTCTTCTTGGTACGAAATATTCGCTTATTTTTCGGCAACTAAAAGACAACTAGTATATCCGAAGTCTAATTCTAACGAACTGGTTCTGAGTTTTAACCAGCTGTCTTAAAATGGTTGAAAAACGAGTGAATATTTCGTGCCAAACCTGTCACATTATAGATTAGCAAGTTTTACAGATTTGGGAACTTTTGAGTTGCCAATTCATAATAAGAATGAATAGTCGTATTTCATAGAAAATCAATGAGAATGATACTTTTAGGAGTTTTTTACTCTTTTGAGAATGTGTCTAAAAAAGAATACTCTTAACAAATTCTTTTTTTAATTATTATCTATTCTATTCAAATATAAGACGAAATTTAGTAGTTTTCATGAAAAGAATTATTCATCTCGATTATCAATCAAACTTACAAAACCATCAATTGTTTTATCAATAGTTGATTTGAATTCGGCAGCGACTTCGCGACACTAAAGTACAAAATAAATTCAATTTCATATCATAATCTCAAATATCTTACACTCTCCGAGTCTGGTATACGTTCACATATAGCGTTTGTAATCGTCAGCATTGTTTGCTGAAAACAAAATGTCAAAAATAAAATTTTCATTTATAAGAACTCTTACTAAAAATGTAGCTAATCGTCCTTGATAATTCTCAATTTTACTCACACAACATTCACATTTATCGTTACACTAAAAGCATACATTCAAAATAATAAAAAAAAAAACAATCATAAAAGATTTTCAAATTTACATTTTCAAATGCAGTAGTAGTCGGACATGCATCAATCACATGACAGACTTTATGTGGATCTATTTTTTTAGCAATAAGAGCAAAAAGACTTGCACCTTCAGAATCAATCACATTATTGCACTGAAAAACAAAAACAAAATATGAAACAATAAAAAACCGTTGTCTTAATTTTAAAAATCAACAAGTTACCAAATTTGATAATGGTCCAAGTCTAGCACAAATTTCATTTTTAATATAAACAATAACTTCTTGCTAAAAGTCAATCAAGATTATTATTATTATTTTTTTACTGTTTTTAAACTAAATCAAAAAATCTTTCCTTACACTTATGATATTATCCGATGCAGTTATTCGAAGTGGTTCTATTTCTTTTAATAATGTTTCATTACATATTTTTAATTCGACACAAATACCTTGTGGATTCTAAATCATATAAGACAAATACTTTAATAGACTATCTAATTTAAAATTTTCATACTAATGATTGAATAAATTGAACAAGTTTATTAATCGAGTCATCAACTGCTTTAGTACACTAAATATAATCAAACAAATTTGTAGAATATAAAAAATAAAACGCAAAAGTTTAGAAACGAGATCTTTTTTTTTTTCTTAAAAATAACAGCTAGAACAAATCGAACACATGATAAAACGATTTCCCATCAGGAGAGGTATTCGCCAAATTTTGGTGTGTGAGTGTAAAGTCTCTGAAAAACGGAAACCTCCAAAATCAGTTTTCCGGAACGTTTTGCAAACAAGTTCATCTGATAGAGAAAACATTTTGATGTTTCGGAGGTAGAGCCCATCGGGTCCAAAAATATCTGAATCCAGACCCAATGGGCTCTACCTCTGAAATATCACACTGTTTTCTCTATTAGATGAACTTGTTTGAAAAATGTTTCAGAAAATTGAGTTTTGGAGGTGTTGGTTTTTCTCTAGAGATCTTTCACCCAAAATAGTTAACGACAGTCCGACAAATATCTTTTCTGATAGAAAATTGTTTCATCTTGTGTTCGATTTGTTCTAGCTGTTACCGTTAAAGAAATCAAAAAGCGAAAAATGCTGCATCTCTAAACTTTGTTCGTTCATTTTTTTAGTTTAATCTTCATACTTCATCTTCTTGAGGTAATTGTCCACAAAGATGATGAAGAAATTCCGATGAATGATGCTAAAATTAATAATATTGCTATTAATATAAAGATATTTAGTTAACTTACTAAAAGTTTTTCAGCAATATGTTTTCTTCGTGTAAAATTATCAATGCATCGTTTACATTTATTTTTATTCTATTATATTTATATGAAAATCAAATCCAATAATAATAACAATAATAATACTTACATCATTAATCGATAAATTATCAATAAATGACATTTTCGTTAAACATATTCCAAACATTTGACAAAGAACATCACCTTCCTATAAAATATTTATCTCTTTAAATTTCCTATTTTTTATTTTCAACATAAAATTTTCATTTACTAAAAATAACTTTGAAAATTTTCTATGAAAATTTAGAGATATAAAGTTCTATATTTGAAGATATGGCAGCTGTATTTTTAATTCGATGGACCTAAAACTTCTAATAAAACTGCTTGAATGAGAATATCTGAAAAACCAAGATCTCAAAAATCAATTTTCTAGCATTCATTTGTTCGAAATGGTTTTATTTAATAGAGCAAAACGAGATGTCTCGGCTCTCTTCATCGAATTGCATTCAATATATAGAAGATCCAAGAAGCATTTGTCTTTTTTTTTTATGAAAAATTTCAAGTATTTCCCCATTTTTGACGCTTTGGCGCATACTATAAATGAAGAAAACTGATTTTTGAGATTTTGGCTTTCCAGACATCTTTATCCAAACAGTTTTATTAGAACTTTTAGGTTCATCAAATCACAAATACAACTGCTCTAAGCTTATGTCCACTATTATATGTTTTCGTAAATTTAAAGCATACCATATCATTAACAAGTGTTTTGAAAAGACGTGTAGTATCTTTTTCTATTAATGCATTACACTAAAAAAAAAAAGAAAAGATAAAAAATTTAAGAAAATTAATCTTAGAAAAAATAATTTACAGAATCTTCAAATGGTCCAAGATGATCACAAATATTTTTTTTGAAAAATGAATGCATTTCATTCTATAAACATATATTCAATATTGAATTATTATCTTTAATTCAGATTTACTAACTTTTTGTATTGGACTTTTTTCATCAGCTATTTCATTGAGACAAACTTGAAAATAAGTACAAAGAAGTATTGGTTGCTAAATATTAAAAAAAAACATGATATACTTTAAAGAAGAAGAAAAAAAAATTTATTTAATTCTCACTGTTCCATGTTGAATATTATCAATAAAATCTTTTCCATATGTTTCTATAACATATTTACAACTTTCCTTCATTTCACCATCCCAATGTGAACATAATTGTTCATCAATATAGTGAAGAACTTTGTCCTTTCATATATATGAGAAAAAAAAATTACTTTTCAAAAAAAAAAGAGATTAATTTATATTCTATTACTTCAGATTGTTTCGTTTCGAGCATGTATTTAGTTGTTGATAAAACGTATGTACATAAATCACAATGAGCATGTGGAGAAGACTAAATACAATAATCCGTATTATTAATATTTGATATGAACATCTTACTTGAGAAGTAGTAGGATCGGTAAAAAGATCAATCTTATCACAGACTTTTGATAATTCCTATGAAGAAGAAAAAATGAATTTCATCGATTAGAACTTCTTTTCATATTTACCATATTTTTAGATACATATATATAGATATTATGACCATATCGATCAACTAAATCTTCACACTAGTAAATTAAAAAAGAATAAGATAATTATTTTTTTTTTTATTAAATTAGTTCTTCAACCTTTTTAGTAAGTTCAGAAGTTGATAATTTTTGACAATCATGTTTTAAAAATGTTTGAATATCACTTGGACTTTTATGTTGATTGGCATATAGATCATGTGTAGCATGAACAATAACATTACATAATATTTTTGATTGTTCATTAAAAGATACTGGTTTTATTTCTTCATCATCAATATTTATTCGTTTTATAATTGTTGCATCTTTACACATTTGTCCCAAATGACAGATTATACCAGGATCCTATTATTAATCATAATTATATAAAATAAAATAAAATTTATTAACTTACAATATTGTTATTGATTAAAACAAGAATTTCTTTTGCATAATAACTCATCGTTTTCACACACTAAAATAAAACAAAACAAAAATTAATTTGATTATTTAATTTTAAATGAGAATTTGTGTATTACTTCATCGATCATCTCTTGTTTTTTTAACATTAAACAAGCTTCAGCTAACCAATTTTCAACATTGATCTATTTTAAAGATAAAACTTTCAATATTTTCTTTTAATTAATTTGTTTTTTAAAACATACTTGTGTTGTATTATCATTTATAATAGTATGTAATCTTTTAATAATATATTCACAATATTGACAAACACTATCATTTTCTTTTTTTTCAATTGCTTGTTGTGACCAAATTTGTTTTGAACAATGTTCAATTGAATTACATTCACGTGTATTACTCAATGATGAACACCAATATGCTGGACCCCATGTACATCGATTACGTCCAAGATTTACCGGTGATTTTTCAGTAACTGGTTCACTAGTACACATATTCATCAAACGACATAATGTTGCATAACGCTATGAACAAAAACAAAAAAAAAATATTATTTAATTATTTTATATTTGATTTTATTTACCTGTTTTTTAATCAATGATATAACTGATGTTCCATAATTTTGAATGATATTCATACACTAAATAAATTTTAATTATTAAAAAAGAAAATCTAATAAACAATTTTTTCTTTGTTTCTAGTTACTTTCGTTGAAAGATCATTTGGTAATAATGATTTACATTCACTACTTAATGTGGATATCATCAAATTCTAAATTATAAATAATTTTCCTATTAAAATTATTTAATAGAAATTACAAACTTCATTATCAGCTAATACATCAAATCCTTTATGTGTATTTTGAAAAATTCTTTGACACCATTGACATGTTGTTGTTGAAGCAACTAATTCATGTTTATCATCATGACTCCAAACTGTATCAGTGCAATGCTGTATTGCACCACAATTCTGTGCATTTTCGAATGATTTACACCAGTATGCAGGTCCAACAGCACATTCCAATGCATAACCAGTCGCCAAGCCAATTGATAAAGCTTGAAAATAAATAACAATAATACTTTTTATCTTGTTTTGAATACAAATAAAAATATCTTACCAATCAAATAAGTGACGAATAAGGCTTTCGCCATTATGCCATTTACAGTAGCCAAATTAAAGAGAAAAAAAGAAAAAGTGTATATGAATATCTAAAAAATATTGAATAGATTTCGTTGATTCAAATAAAGAAAAACAAAACGTATTCATGATGAATAACTAATTTTATGCATTTCTCTTTTTTTCTGTCACGGCTGAGAGAATAACGTTATTTATAGAAAAAAGTAATATATAATGACTCACAAAAAGAAAAAATATCAATAATGATTAAAACAAAATTTGTTTATATTTTTTAGTGATTATCAAATGTTAGAAATTTCATTCTGAAAAAATGCAATATTTTCTGAGGGGAAAAAAAACATGATAATATTTAACAGTTGTTCATGATAACTTTGCTAAGAAAAACAAAAGGTCATTTTTGTAAAAAAATAAATAGAAATTTTCTACTAGAAGATTCAATGTCATTAAAAGATGAATCATAATCATACAGTACTTACTTTTTAAATATCAAACTTAAAGGTTATTATCCCTGTTGAAAACAAAAATAGAATTGAAATTAAATTTTTGTTCTTCGTTCATTTACTGATTAAATTTAATTAATAATAATATGCTATCAGTTTCTTAAAAGAGAGAGAGAGACAGATGTATCCATATATTTGTTTGCAATTATTTCAAACGACATTTGTTTTTTTTTCTTTAGTGTATGCAAAAAAATAGAGGAAAGAAAAGAAGAAAAAAAAAAGAAATGAGCGTAGAGCGTCAGCAACTAACAATATAGTAATTCAAAACAAGCCATACCTATAACTCAAAACCGACTGGATGTATTTTTATAAGGAAAAGAAAAAGAAATTGCGCATTGGTAAAAGAAAGACAATTTTTTTGAAATTTTATGTTAAACGATATAATCTAATTAATTTAATGTTAAAAGATATCTAATGCTGAATGTATTGTAACTAAAAGCTTATGATTTTTATTAGAATAGGTTTCTTTTTTTATATGACAAAGAAATATAAGATTATTTAGACGAATATTTTCTTATATAATTCATAAGCAAAGTTCAAGTTGACATGTTGAAAAAAATATCTAGTTTTAATTTGTTACTTTTATTTAGTATTCTTAAATGAACTCGAACATAGAATTGTTCTTTGAAGTAAATAGATATTAATCAATTTATATACATATTATAAGATTTACATGAATAATATACGTTGATTTTTTTGATATTGCTTTTGATTAATTATCGAGATAGATACGATTTATACTTTATATAACCCGATAAACAATATTATTTTCTTTTCGTATCCGTACGCACTTTATTAACAAAAGTTCATTTTTTTATAGATATATTTATCACCTTTACCTTTCAATGTAGAATAAAGGTCAACAAGTTTAATAAATATAAGAAAAATAAAAGTACCTTTAGTGAATTTTCAATTCATTCTTCGTTGAACACTAATACTTGACCTTATTATCCGGATACGATCTCCAAACTATAAGGAAAAGATTTCGATTATACGCATTGTTTTCCATAAAGTATTTGGATAAAATGTTACTGACACCTCTTTTGACATTATTTGAAAATTTTATTTTGCACATGATTAGTAATTCCTTCTGGTTTAAAAGTTCTTGAATAGTTTGGGCAAGTGTACGTGTTATTCCGATTATGCTAAAGTATTTTCAGAATTTTGATTTGAGGTACATTTATTCTTTTGTCTTTTTCTCTAATTTTCTATAAGAGATATGTTGGTCACTGAAATCATTCTGATTTATAATCAAATATTATAACTTCATTTTTCTGTTTAAAAATGATAGTATTTTGTTTGACTTGAAAAAGAAATATTTATAGGCAGATCTACTCATTAGACTCGACGATAGTTGAATTCTTTTAAGTATCTTTTTTCCCTTGAATTATTTGGCATTAATGTTATGAATCAGTGAATTATTTTATTTCATCTAGATGTGCATATTTACAAATAATAAGAATAAAATTTCACAAATCCAAAAATAGTTCTCCTAAATTAAAATTCACTTTTCAAATATGAATAAATTTATACTTAATAATAACAACACTATCTGAACCAAATGCAAATACGCAAACTATGAAAATTTTAATTATTTAAGATGAACCGGTATAAATAAATAAAAGATCATTAATGTAATAACAAAATATCCAATAATTAAAATCAATGCAATTAATTGAATTCGTTTTTTTCCATTTGAAATTCTAGTTGTGATAAATGCTGGCATATCACATAAAAATATAGCGACTAATACACCCATAATTGCACCCCCAATATGTGCTGCATGATCAACATGACCCGAAGAATCAACATCAAGAAATATACTCAATATAAAATATGGAATGACGAGAAGTGTTATTAGAAACTGAATGATTTTGTCTTGAATATTAGTAATAGTAAATATCCTTAAAGTATTGTCGATAATACAAAAGAATAATAGACCATAAACGGCACCTGATGCTCCTAGAGATACTAAAAATACATTCAAATAATTAGTGAATGAAAAAAAAAACATTATGATTTACGTACTACTCTTTGGATTACACAATGAACTCATTACATTTGCACTAAAGCCAAATAAAATATAGCATATTCCTAATGTTATTTTACCATATTTTCCTTCCAAAAGAGTTCCAACCAAAGCTTGATAAATAAGATTACTTAAAAGATGAGTTATGTCACCATGAAGAAATATTGGAGTAAAAAAGCGAAAAAATTGATAAGGAAAAAGGAAAGATTGACATCGAGATTTAAGTCCAGCATTATACATTTCCTGTTCTGCTTTAGAATACAATGGTTTCATACAAGGAACATATTTGCAACCCATTTTTATCCATGTCTCAGATGTTATTACGGTTCCTTCCTGCACAATATATAAAACAAGAAGTACTAATATATCAAATATTCCAATGGAAAGAGTAAATATTGGACAATGTGGCTCTAGTGATGAAGATGTTACATGAATAGTGTGATCCTGTTGATCTATTTCTATTAATACATCTTTATTATCGTGGTGTGTATCAAATAGTTTAAGTGAATTACAAGAAGTTGAATGAACAGATAATGTTATTTGCTTTTGCGGCAAACTAAATTTATCTTTAATCTTTGTCCACATTGTTTTAGTATTCGTCGGCATTGAATTGTTTGTTTTTCTAAAACAAGAGAAAGTAGATATAGAATATTCTTTGTTATTATTATTATTTTTTTTTTTGATAAATTTTCTACTAAAGATCTATTTGGATTTAAAAGTCAATAGAACAAAAGTATGATTTTTTTTTGCTTAGTTATTTTCATATAATTGATTCTACCTACATTTACTTGACTAACGCAATTACAGCTAAATTAACTCATTTTCGAATACAAGTGTCCCTTGTTAATAATAGTTACATTTTATGTGGGGTAGTTTTTCTTTCTTTTCTTTGCTTTTTTCCAATTATCACGTGTTCTAAATTTATGATGTTTTTTTCTGTACCTATCGTACGATTTTCGTATCTTTATCTTTTTTATTAGTCATGTCGGAGGAAATCACTTGATAGAAATACTAAATGAAAAACAAAAGGATTATATATAATGTAAATCATGAAAATTTATTTAGTTCAATGACACAAAAATATTATACTTCATATATGAAAGAAAATATAAATACAGTCGTATATTAACTATTGAAATAATAATAAATACGTAAAATATATCATAATTACTAGTCAATAGTTATTAATGAAAATATATTTTCTGTCGATTTTTTGAAAAAAATGTAACTACCTACTGTTGTATCACAAAATTTTGTACTATCACAAATGATATTGATATATTAGTTTTCTTTCACGTTGGGACAATTATCATTAAAGGTGAAAATAGCATTCCTTTGGGCTTAGATACTTTTTTTTTATAGTACGCAAAATACAATCGTGATTCTTTGATCAGGATACACAGAAAGGAAAAAAAAAATTTTCATATAAGTCGATCATTATTTGTATCGATCAAACAAAAGACTAAAGCATCCTGTCATTTTACGCCCAAATATTAAATAGAAGTCGAAGTTTCTCATGAAATATAATCATTAAATAATAAACTAAGAGTTCAGATATAATAATAGAAAAATATCGAAATTTGTCTATGACATACAAACATGCATGAGAATAATTTAGGAGTTAAGACAAGAAAAGAAGCTTGATTATAATCGCCTATTTATTTTGTTTCTTTATTTTCAAAGTCTGTAAATAAATAAAAATAATATAATATCATACAGGTCAATAATAATAGGAATGTAAACACAATGTGAATGAGATATTCGACCGAAAGAAATGTCATGCTTTTTGTAACGCATTTATTCATATTTGACATATTTTTATCAAATAATTTAAATACCAACGAAAAAAAAAACCAAGAAAATTTTTATTCCTTAGCAACCTTAAAATACATCTATTTTTCTCATTCAATGTCAATACATGATGGTATCTCATGTGATTTATGTCGAAAAATAAATTTTCCCGGTTGTCGTTATAAATGTTTAATATGTAATGATTTTGATTTATGTGCAATATGTTATGATAAAAAACAAAATCTATCTGTTCAAACACATTCTATTCATCATTCAATGCAATTTATAATAACACCAAATGATTTTGAATATATTTATTTTGGATATAAACGTACACAATATAATCAAATATCATTAACATGTTCTTATTGTAATCAAAATGGTTTTGATTTAAATTTTTTAATTAAACATATTAATAAACAACATAGAATATTAAAATATTCTGTTCTATGTCCAATTTGTTTTATTCGACAAAATAATCTTTATGAACATCTTCATCAACATATAGAAGAAAATTTAAATTTTAAAATAAAAATTTTTAAACAAATAAAAATTTTTAATTCAAATGAAAAATTTCTTGAACAATCCTTATTAAAAAAATTAATTAATAAATATACGAATAAAAATGAAAATGAACAACGAAATTTATTTCTATATTCTTTACTTACTGATTTATTAAGTCAAAAATCTTTTAATAATAATATATAAATAAATTACATAAAAATATTTTTATAATAATATTATAAATCATATTCAATTTGAAAACAATAATTATTTATAAATAAGTTTGATGTTGATCATTATGTGATTTTTTCTAACAAAACTAAAAGAAAACAAAAGATTATTTTAGTAGATAAAAAAACAAACTAATATTAGTTTCGCACGTTTGTCAAACAAGTTTCACCAGAAAGATAAATATCGGCAATTATTTATCAGTCAAAAACGACCTTAGAATATCGTTGAAGCATGACAAATGTTACCGATTTAGAAATTGACCAATCACGTCAAATTTTCGACAAAAAATACTCTCAGTGCATTCTTTGTTCGATTTACGCCAAATCAAGATCGTTATCTCGCTTCAATCATAAGCAGTAAAGGCTTTTTTTTCCGACGAGAAAACGGCTTCAACTGATCAATTGTTTAAAGCTACTCAGCTATGGATTATTGACCATAAGAAATTTTCTTAGGTCTTTATATACTGGTTTTCCCGATTAATCAACATATTCAGTAGTTTTCGTTGAGAAAGCGATTGATCAGTAGAAAACGTTTCTGTGTGGAAACCCTGGTTTTGGCCAATTGATCTGAAATCATCTTAGAATTAACCTTAAGAAGGCTAATTTACCATGTTGAGTTTAGTAGTGATTTGAAAGCACTATCAGGAAAATTTTGAATTTGAGAAAAAAAAAAATCTTGATAGTGCTTTCAAATCACTACTAGATTCAAAGGTCTTTAGATCATTCTTCGGATGATTACAGATCAATTGACCGAAGTCAGGAATCTCAGAAAAAGTTTTATGGCTCGAGAGATCAAGAGGTCAGGGTTTATGTAAAGTGAACAAACACAATCTTTTTCTACCGAATGGTCATGTTAAAACTGTAAATTGTGTGAAGAATGTATTGAGGATATCGCCTATGGGAAGTTTCACCTGATTGTTCGATCGATAAACCAATCAGATTTCACATATTTCTATGGTAGGCGTCACACCTTCCATCCCGATGTTTTCTTTTGAATAATGAAAATCTCAGATCTCTATTTTCTTCCTAATAAAAGTTATTCGAAAAATAATCACGATCATTATATAGTTGGACAAACAGATGTACAGCTCGCAGAAATCAATATTGATCGTTTAAATTGCTTTCATTTCACTTACCTAGTGTGTACATTTGAGCTGAAACCTTTTCAATATATACAATAAATACTTAAGGTTGGCTACCTTTTTTTTTTAGTTTCTCTCTATCACCTTTTCTTCAAGTAAAAAGAAACCTTAACTGGAAGAACACTCTAAGGCATATACCTATTTTTCAACGATTTTATTGTTTAGCATTTGTCAAAAAACAACAGATTTTCTTTAAGCTTTAAAACAATATTTGAATTTTCTCCAATAGAAAAAGAATGTAGAGACGCATATGTAGAACAGAACGAAAAACTAAATATTTTTACTTTGATAATCGAAAGAATTTCTTTAAATAGAAAAGTTTCCCTCGTCTCTGAGCTATCAAAAACAAAAATGTTTCATAAATGAAAAGTTATTTGTTTGTTGAAAACAACAAAAATAAAATCAACGTAATTTTCACAAAACTCTCATCCATAGAATAGAAAGCCCGTTGTGTTCCCTCCTAGACACAAAACAAATAATCTGGATAGATTAACTTTTATTGCTTCTCACTATTCAATTGTAGCTCTGCTTATGTGTTGTATGTGTTCTAGTAACAGACAAATAAATTTCTTTCGTAACTTGAAAAAATGCATAGATATACTGATCACTTACAGATAGCTGTCGAATAGGTAATCATATCATTCTGTGAGATTTATGTGCCGTTCAAAAAATGAAATAATATTAATTTTTATTAACTGAAAAATGAAAACATCTTACAAAGGTGAACGATTAGTGTGAGATGGTACAATATCGATCTTAGAAATAAGAGACTGTACAAACTTCTACAATGAAATCATTCAGAAAAATCATATAGGTACAATATCTAATAAGAATTACTTTCTAACTTCTCCATAGCTCGATAATTTCTTAGTTAAAATATTTTATTAACTATAATTATTCGGATTCACCGAGTAGTGGCAACAAATGAATATGTGAACTCGAGAAGTAGTATAAAGAACTCATATATTTTGTCTACTTAATAGTATACGACCGAAACAGAACTGACAGGTTCCACCTCTGGTTTAGATTTATTCATTTTTATCAGATATAAAATCTTAGATCGACTGTTCAACAAATTTGACTTCGATTTTGCTAAAAAATATGGAGTACATAATACTTCGTTGATTAGTAAGATTCGTTTCTCTATAGGAGTATAACATATCGTGTTATGTATTTCTCAACGAAAAACATTGCCTTTTCCAATACAAAAATTTGCTCACTTCTCAGATACCTGAGAACCACATCTCTCATTGTTACATCATAGTTGTTCAAACAAAATCTAAAAATAATTAACAACAATATTTATATCTGTAAAAAAAAAATATATATATATATTGATAGAGATGACATGATAATAATAATATTAGTTTATCGTTTTTATTTTTTAACATCGAGATTTTAATAAAATTTTTTATTGAATTTTGCTCACATGGATAACCAATAATCGATACATATATATGTGAACAAATTATGAAATAAACTTTTACCGACTATATTTTATAGATAATAGGTGAGTGTATACCTCTTAAAATACAATAATACTTGTCTATAAGGTGAAAGGTACAAAAAAAAACTATCGCAACAAAAATAAGGTAGATGTTTTTTGTCTGTATCTCTCATGAAAAAAGAATTGGATGAATAATCATATTAGACAAACGGATGAAAAAAAAAAATATAAAATTTTTGCGAATGATTATTGTATACATAGATCAAATGTATTCAATATTTGATTAGGATTCAACTAAGAACTACTTGATCAGATGATCAAACATACATGCATACAATTGCTAAAATTAGCATCGATTTTAAATGGATGAATTATTATCAAATGAAAAAAAAAGATCTTCACGAAACAAATACATCTGTTAATAATGTTTGAATTATATGACTTACTTTTTTTCTATTTGAAATATTTATTTTTTTAAATAAAGTCAAAAGTAAAAAGTAGATGTCAGTATGTTATAGATTCTCAAGTCCATGAAAACCAGTGTCATTATGTCGCTACTTTTCATAAACTTGTAAAACGAAGAAAATAATAGGAGAAACGATAACCATATGCTAGCAAAAAAGTAGACTGATCGATTACGATGGAAGCTAATGCAGTAATATGCCGTTTCCGACGATTGCAATGGTTGTTGTAGGTTGATTAGTTGAATGCTTTTAGTCGAAAAAATCCTGAGGTCATATATGTGTATTTGCTTCAAACCATTGAATAACACAGAAACTAAAAAAAATCGTTGAGACAACAACAAAACAATTATCAATTGAGACTGCAAAATAGACGGAGACGATCTGTTTCTTCTGTATATTAAAGCTTCTGTTTGATTTACGATTTCACGATCATCAAATTTCGATACTTTTTTGTGTAAAGTTACTCATGTCGTGAAAATCGTGATTATGATATGAGATACGATATTTTCAAAATCGGCAATTAATCTTTAATTAGTTGCTGATTTCGGTAAGCTACTTTAAAATTTTCAATTAATTAGAAAAAAAATTCTAAAATCTATTACATCGTAAATGAAATTATCTTTTGTATCCAATTTTCTTCAACATACTCATTGAAATTCAAAACTAAAAACTGAATTTTTTTTTTCGTAAGAGTATCGCTATTGTAACATTAATGAGATTGAATGATTTTGAATCACAATCAAACCGAACTGAAGTAACTGCATATTCATTTCCTTAGTTTTAGTTCGAATTTAAAACATGTTTTTCATTATTGGATAATCTATTTTAAATATATTTTTCCTGGAATCGAATTTCAAATAAATCCCTCAACCCTTGATTAGAGTCAAACTGAAAAAAATGACTTTCTGATTGATATTTAAATTGTACATCATCATCACTGTTGCAATCATTCGCTTTTTTAGATTTATATTTCGTTGTTGTGTTTTAGATGCAAACTTCATGCACGAACGCGATGGTGCAATCATTGATTGTGAAAACAAGTTATTCAGAATATACATCTGTGGTGCATAAGAACTTTTTTCGATTGTGCTCTGGTTTTAGTGAGTGATAGCGTTTTGTATTAGCTTTTTTCGTTTTTTTTTTGTATTTGGTTAATATGAAATCATTTATATGTTCTAGTCTTATAATAAAATATTTGATCAATTAGAATTAGAAATAAAAATTGCCAAATACATATATGAAATTGAGATTAAATGATTCAAATCATACCTATAATTATGAGAATAAAGAATAATAATCGATCGAAAAATCATGATCTATCCAGAAATCCCCGATTAATCGAGCTTCAGCATACGATTATCGTTTCGATATATCGTGATTAATCGGTAATTTTTTAGCAATTTCACGGATATGTGATGTCATTCATATTCTTTTAATCACTGAATCTTCGAATAGAAAATTTATTTGACAGATTTAATTACCTAAATTTGAAATAAAGATTAGCTATTTCAAGAACATTCAGTTATAGAAATTTTTGTACATGTCAACATCTATTTCACCATAATGAAATTATTCATGTTTCTTTGAACGATTAAAAAATCAATCGATTTTTTTAATTAATATATATATATCAAAGTTTAATATAAAAAACAAGAGAAGACAATTATCCTGTAATCTATACAAATATTAAATAAAAAGCAAAAAAATAACTGATTGAGAATAAAATGGCAGAATATGATATTTGGAATGTATAAGCTTCACTAACACCTAAGAAACGATTTCGTTTTGTACAAAACGTTCCATTACAACATCCAATTGTATTCGTCGGAGAGCAAACATAACCATATTGACTAATACATGCATTTGTACATTGTTCAGCACTAGCACAAATTGATGTTGTATAATAAATTCTTGAATCACATTGACATTGACATGTTGGAATAAAACCCTGACAATCACTTCCACAACAACCACGTGTATTAGCTATATTACATTGACCAATTAATTGTAAACATGCTTGAACACATTGTTGAGCTGAACCACATGACATAGGTAATGTTGTAAATACACTTGCACCACACATACAAGTACATGATGGAAATATATTAATACAATCATTTCCACAACATGCTTGAGTATTATCTTGTGTACATGCACCATAAGAACTAATACATGTTTCTCCACATACTCGACTACTTTGACATGGAACAGAAGTTATTGTTCGAAAATCTGGATCACAATTACATGCACACGTTGGTATATATGATGAACATGCTGCACCACAACAACCTTGAGTTTCACTATAAGTACAATCACCATAAGTCTAAATTAAAAATAATTAATATATATATATATATAAACAAAAACAAAAACAAAAAAAGAACTTTCCATACCGTCATACATGTACTAACACAACCTTCTGGATTAATACATTTTGGTGATGGATAATAAGTATTTCCTTGACAACGACAAGCACATGCATTAGCAACTGCTTGTGAATATGATTTACAATCTTGTCCACAACATGCTTGTGTAGCTGTTGGTATACAAACTTGAGGAAAATTTGATAAACATCTTGTTAAACATGCTTGTGATGATGTACATGTATCAACTGGATTAAAATATTGTTGACCAGCACAATTACATAAACAATGACGATTATCAAGTGATTGACTTTGAAAATATTGACATGATGAACCACAACAACCATATGTATTTATAAGTGTACAATGTCCTGGATACATTTGTAAACAATGAGCTATACATATTTGAGCATTAATACATGTTATTGGTGGTCCAAATGACATATAGCCACATGAACATCTACAAGAACTTGGTCCACTTATATCAAGATTATATTGATAAAGTGGAATATTAGGCATATTACCACCCATATAATCAGGATTGAATGCATAATAAGGATCAATAAGATCACTGCCAAGTGCTTGACGTTGCTGTGGTCGTTTTGGATCTACATCTTTTGTTTGAGATGGCTCTGTTCCTTCTATAATTAAACGTATATATATATATGTTTAACTTTAAAATAAGTCTCTTAGGAATTATTTTAGCTAATTTACAAATGTGTACCTGTGGAAGGAATTACATGAAGTATCAACAATATCACGATAATATATGAAATCATTGTTGGTCATTAATTGGTTATAAAATCGGTGCTGTCCTTGTAGAAAACATGTTGAAAGGCTCTAAATCTTCTCGTTCTGTTTCTTTCTCTCGTTTTTTTATAACCGTTTGCACAAGCTTGTCAAATAGAAAAAAAAAATTTGGAGGACATCGTCACCATGTCACATAATGTCTCTTCCTGGCTGTTACACATACACAATGACAGAAATGAAAAAAAAAACGAACCAGTAAAAGAAAAAAGAAAAAAGAAAAACGGGTAATACTCGCGTTATAAAAGAACGAAAGAAAAAAAAATGAGAGAGTACACCGTAAGGTAAAAAAAACTTCTTGAACGTAGAATTAACATTTTATGGAGAATATGTTGAGGTTGTGTAGAATACGAGAATTCTTAGTAACGTAACACATAAAATACACAAAAGAAAAAAATGAACATCAAAAAAAAAAGATTAATTTATTTTAGTCAATAAGAATAGACTAATCCAAACAATAAATTCGTCATTGAAAAATTTCGAGTGATCTCAAACTCTTCAAAAATTGATATCAATGTTAGTTTCTAGAGATATATCAATCGTATATACACAGTCTTTTATTTGATAAAATTTTAAGTAAATCTGTATTAAGCTTTATTTTACAGATGCAATAAATATTTAACCTAATCGCATAAAGATCAATGCGTTATTATACTCCTCTCCCTCATGATAAAAAATCTTGAATCTTCTATTATGTTCCAATATACAAATTTTTTAGGAAGATCCTCTGTCTACAAGCAGAGATTCTTACTGCCCATCCTTTCATTTCATGATTCTATAGTCCAAGAGATATATTTCGCAAAAATAATTCTAAAAAATCATCCATAAAGAATGTCGAAGTGCGAATCTCACTTTTGATTTTTCCATAATATCCAATTTGATTACTATCTATTTCAAATTATAATGTGTTCTACTATTTTTCGAATAAATTTTCATAGGAACATCATAGAGATCTGCGGTTTTCACTATTTAAAAGAGAAGATCCAAGACCATCGAAGTATATCGAAATTTGATCGGTCAGCAATTGACCAATCAAGTGAGTTCTTGGTGGAGATTTTCGAAAACAATATTCTAAAACTATTTTTCTTTCTATTTAAACTTTTAATAGCACTAATCGATTAAAATAGTTCTTCTCTTTCGGTCTACACAAGGCCGACATTCCTAGCTTGTATTATTCGAAAGTTATAAAACTTCTTCTGAGACCTTCGATTTCAGCCAATTGATCTGCGATTACCTAAAAAAGTAATTAGGCAAGAGTAATTTCCCATGCTGAGTCGAATGGTGATATTGTGTTTTTCGATTCGAACTGATCTGACACTGTTATCTCAATATTTCCGAAATGTCGACTCCTTCGTTCAATGAAGGTTGATTGTGAAATTCAAAAATATTAAGATAACAGTGTCAGATCAGTTCAAACCTAAAAACAAATATCATCATTTGACTCAGCATGGGGAATTACGGATGAATTTGAATATGGATTGTGGGTGAAATAGAGGTTTTGCCCTCAACTTCATCGAAATACACTCACACACAAATTTTTCTTAATAACGACTCAATACAAAAGTAATCATTTTAATGTTAAGTCTTTGATTTTAAATAGCAATTTATTTTTCGCCACGAATTTTACTCATAACCTATTGTAGTCAAGATTTATATTCTCTGAAATTTTGGCTGAAATCGGATGAAAAATAAAAAAGTTTAGTCATGAGGAGTCTCCCTTAAATAAATCTAACACACATGTTCTTCGTATATGAATAAAATGAAAATATTCATAGCTAGTATCCAGAAGTATCCGATATTCATTACCTTGGTGTCCTTTTGGATAGCGTTATGTTTTACTTCCAGTATCTTTGTTTTAACGGCAAAGTATAAGTTCATATATGTAGAACATAAACTTGTTTATTTTCTTTAAATCAAAGAATCACTACCAACAATATATCGAGGCGCATATATATAACATCATAAGAAGAAAAGATGAACATATAAAATAATATAGATGGCATATCATAATAGATAGTTCCGTATAAAAAGAGTTGAATACAAAAAAGTCATTGTCAAGCCCGGATCTTCTATCATGTTTTACAGACGAGTGAAAGGTAAGTAGGATTACATTATTCGACAACAAAATAACGAACACTTCTTATAATTATCACTAGCAACTGTAGTTACTTGTGCAGCAACATTCGATTGGAGAAAAAGTTTTTGTTCATTCATAAGGGATCCAAAAATCGACAATTCTATATATGACAAACTTTGTCCTGTTCTTCGAAGTGAATCTTCTTGAAGAAGACTCAACGTTTGTTTTATGTCACCATGTCTAAGAAGATCATCGAGATATAATAAACTTGAACCATTACAATCAACTAAAAGACGAGATAAATGAATAAGATTATGTCGAGTAAGCCATTCTTGTACATGTATTTGTGTCCAGTCTGTAATCTTTTCTGGAAGTATTGGTGAAAGATATAGTTTCGGCGAAGACATCTGTAGAACATGAGATGTAACAACAGCATTTTCTTTGAATTGAACATTGCCGGCATTGTTATCAACAATATTTGTAGCTTTAAGTTCTTTAAATAAAATTTCCATTGCTCGTGAAAATTCATATTTAATAAAATCAACATAATATAATTGACCAATAAGAAACAATAACCATCCATCAGGTTTATATTGTTTTTGTAAAAGAACTGGAACTATTTTACGTTGCTGTTGAAATGCATATTGTGCTTCAGCACGACAATAATTACTTTTTCGATATTGTTCACTCATACAAATAATAATTGTATGTGAT